ATTGGTGCAATATTTTGCAAGATTGTTTTAAAAATTAATCTATACCTACTATAAAATAATAATAATTTTTTAAAGACGAAATTGTCAAATATTTGATCTGATGTATTTTATAAAATAATAAACTCATTAAAAACAAAATGGTTCAATATTTTGTAAGATTGTTTTAAAAATTTATGTCAATTCAGATAAACCTCATAACATTCTTTGGTTTAAGGAAACATTAATTAGAGTTAATGTTTATATATTTATATTTACTAATTAAAAACTCATATCTAGATTATTTTATCACTTTTCTTGATCAAGATAAAGTGATACTGATAAATCCATTCCCCTCAAAGAATATTCATTAATAAAAACTAATTGATTTTAAAAATTGAAGATGACCAAATATGAATTGCTTTTATATTTTATGCAACAAAATTTGATATTTGATTATTCTTTTACTCAGATAAATAAAATTTTTGGTTACATAAAGCTCCACTTGTATTTATTTTTAAAAGTTACTTTATATTTAAATATCAACAAAATCATAATATAATGTTAAGTATAATTGAATCGAATATATTTAAACTGCACATGATAATTATCATTCTTCGTATTCTTCAGTTAATAATTTAAATACTCATTATTATTATTTTACTTTCCTATTCTCTTAATTAAAATGTTTCTTTTGATTTTGCAAATTTTTGTATTTCCAACTAAAATTCTATAGCCTAAAGGCTGCTTTATACATAACTAGCGCCGTCTAAGGTTTACTTCAAAAAATCCAATTTTAACGGATTCGTGAATTAATTAAATAAATTTTTTATCATCCCCCTTTAATCTAAAATAATATATATTAGTTAAACTTAAAATTTAATTAGCGCATAATAAATGAATAAGAGATTTTATATATTCGTTTAAACAATTAACATAAAAATTTCCAATACATCGGTACTTTGTATCATTATGTTGCTATTTAAAATAACAACTTTATAAAGAGAAGTAAAAAAATTGGAGCTTTATGTAACCAAAAATTTTATTTATCTGAGTAAAAGAATAATCAAATATCAAATTTTGTTGCATAAAATATAAAAGCAATTCATATTTGGTCATCTTCAATTTTTAAAATCAATTAGTTTTTATTAATGAATATTCTTTGAGGGGAATGGATTTATCAGTATCACTTTATCTTGATCAAGAAAAGTGATAAAATAATCTAGATATGAGTTTTTAATTAGTAAATATAAATATATAAACATTAACTCTAATTAATGTTTCCTTAAACCAAAGAATGTTTTGAGGTTTATCTGAATTGTAAAAATACATTTAAAACATTTTATTTACAATTTATAGATTGAGTTCAAGAAAATTCAAATCTCAAATTATTTTGCATATATAAATTAATAATAATTTTAATTTGAATCAACAATTAGGAATTTTTAATATTTAACACTACTTATAACTATAATCAAGAAAGGGCAATATGATATCAAAAAGACCAAGATAATAAACAAAAAATTAAATAAAATTCAGCCGTTAATTTATACGATTTATTTAATATCTGTTAAACAGTAGTTAATTATTAATCATTATTATTATTTTTTACTAACATATAAATAAATGCTTTGTGAAAAAAATTTTTGATGATTTTTATTTTGATCAAAATATTATATTGTAACAAATTTATATCAAACAATTTGATTTAATCGCAAAGTTAATTAGTGAAACTTATAAATAGATATAGAAAAAATTACCAATTTTTAACAGTTAGATGCTTTTTTGTAATTGCTCTGATAAATTTAAAATTAATAATTTTTTTAGAAGACAAATTATGCACTTAATAACTATAGTATTTCATGGTTAATAAAGACAAAAGGAAATTATGAAGAGAATCTAAACTAACCAAAATATTAACTAACTTCCCAAAATCTAAATGATATATTCTCTATTTTTCAAGAACATTCAAGCATACATCCAATAAGCAATTTTTATTCAATCAAAATCTATTTCAATATTATTGATTTTTTTTTTAAATATAAAGCTGAATAAAAATGTAATAGAAATTCAATATTTAAAAAAAAATTTATGGATTGCCCTTTTCATAATAAAAGTCTTATATAAATGATATGTATAGCTCCTCACAAGTGTCAATGCCAAAGGAAATTGTGTATTAAATGCCTTTATGACCATGGAGTAGATGTCAAACAAGCTATTCCTATTGATATATTTTAAGAAAAGGCTATAAAAAAATTACAAGAATCTAGGCTCACATAGACATCTTTGTTAACCAAAGAGAGAATGGCTTTTAAATCCATGCTATCTCAAACCTAAACTATTCTAAAGAAAATTTGGGATGATTTATTCGAATCAATCAAAAAAATATACGATTGGATCGAACAGAAAAACAAGTCTTACATAGAGCTCATAAACGAACCCAATTTAGCAGAATCTTCGTATGCTGCTATAGATTAATTAGTCTCCATTGTAGAAGGAACAACATTAAATGATTGGAATGATTGGAACAATTTTTATGTGACGGAGTTGGATAAGATCAAAAATTAATGGGAATAAGAAATTAAGGATATCGTCTAAAAGTCGAGTGAAGGAATGAAACCAATTTCATTATTAGTTAAGTAAGAAGTTTGGACTAATTATAGGATATTACCTTTATATTAAGAATACGAAATCTATGAAAGGAAAGAAGATTTTTATGAAATTTTAGACTACGCTCAAGATATTGATGAATCAATATACAAGGTGATTATTGAAATACTTAGAAAAGAGAAAATTTCAGATCTCCTCGGATTTCTTTCAAAGAATTTCAATTTAAAGCTTTATGAATCATTTATCAATAAGATAGACAAAATAATTTATATGAAAAAAAATATAGAGAAAATTACTAATGTTTTGAGAAATATTTAAGATCATCCCTTTAGTAAAATTGACTATTCTACTGAAACATACAAAGAAGCGAGATTAGAGCTAATAAAAAAGATAGAAGGCAAAAAGGAGATCATTAATTTTTTACAATTTTTGGTTCAGCTTACAAAAATAGATGAAAAATGGATTTAATGTGGATCGAATGGTCTAAATTTATTAGTAGGCATGAAGGTTAATTTGAGGAATCAGAGCTTCGAAAATATCAGAATCAAGAATACCTCATTAAAAGGGGCTAATATGGTCCAATGTAATTTGAGTGGATCAGAATTTAATAATGTAGAAATTAGTGGAGTGAATTTAAATGGTGCTTCACTATATAACTGCTAATGGAGGAATATTCATATTGATGAATTGATTAAGTTAGAAGGTCATACTAGTGGTGTCAATTAAGTATGTATCTCTTTTGATGGATCTAAAATAGCCTCAGGCAGTTGGGATAACTCTATTCGTTTATGGGATGTTAAAACAGGATAATAAATAGCCTAATTTTATGATAATAGATACCCAGTTAAAGCAGTCTGCTTCTCGCCTGGTGCTACTATATTAGCATTTGGTTATGATGATAACTCTATTTTTTTATGGAATATTAAAACAAAAAAAAAATAATCTAGATTTTATGGCCATACTAGCTCAGTCTCCGCATTATGTTTTTCTACTGATGGTACTAATTTAGCATCTGGTAGTGAAGATAAGTCTATATGTTTATGGGATGTTTAGACTGGAGCATAAAAAGCCAAATTGGAAGGTCATACTGATGTTGTCAATTCAGTTTGCTTCTCTCCTGATGGTACTACTTTAGCATCAGGTAGTGTAGATAATTCTATCCTTATTTGGGATGTTGATACTGGATCATAAAAAGCTAAATTGGATGGCCATGTTAATGATGTCAACTCAGTATGCTTCTCTCCTGATGGTACTATTTTAGTATCTGGTAGTGCAGATAACTCCATCTGTTTTTGGGATGTTAAGACTGGATTGTAAAAAGCCAAATTGAATGGTCATACTAGTTTTGTCCAATCAGTCTGCTTCTGTCCTGATGGGACTACATTAGCATCTGGTGGTGCAGATAATTCTATCCGTTTGTGGGATGTTAAGAGTGGATCATAAAAAGCAAAATTGGATGGTCATACTTATTGGGTAAACTCAGTATGCTTCTCTCCTGATGGTACTACTTTAGTATCTGGTAGCGCAGATAACTCCATCTGTTTATGGGATGTGAAGACTGGATCAAAAAACCCCAATTTGGATGGTCATAATCATTGGGTCAACTCAGTCTGCTTTTGCCCTGATGGGACTACATTAGCGTCTGGAAGTTCAGATAACTCTATCAGTTTATGGGATGTTAAGAGTGGATCATAAAAAGTTAATTTAGATGGACATAGTGGATGGATTTCTTCACTTTGTTTCTCTCATGATGGCTATATATTAGCATCTGGTAGTAGAGATTAGTCTATCCGCTTATGGGATGTTAAAACAGGATAATAGATAGGCTAATTAGTTCAACCAGTATGCTTTTATAGTGGTATTAAATAGTTCTCTAGAAAAAAAAATAATAAGTCTATAAATCTTTTGGGTACTTTAGATGGAATATAAAAAAATAATTTAGATGTTGATGTTTGTTCGGCACTTTCAATTCTTAGTAGAAATGTATAATTATAAGGTAGTATTGATTAGTCTATCTGTTCATAAAATCCTTAAAAAGAATAGGAAAAAACCAAATTGGATTGTCATATCAATTCAGTCCTGTCAGTATGCTTTTCTCCTGATGATAATACATTAGCATCTGGTTGTAATGATAAAACTTCTACTATATATATTCAATCAATAATATACAGCAATTGATTTTGATGTGTTAATTGTTCAAAAACTTACACTTTTTCTCTAAATTCTTTTTGTTTCAGTAATAACTTAGTCGGTCATTATGTAATTAGAAATTAAGAGAGTGTTTGAAAAAAAGAAAATAAAGTTCATTTCAAGCACAGCAAAATAATAATAAATGAATAAATAAACATAAAATATAGTCGATTTTTATTAAAAATAAGTTTTGACCTTAAATTTTATTAATTATTAAAAATATGACTAGATCAACCACTCTCACATATTTGATCATGCTTCAAAACTCAAGTCGCAAAGGGTTTGAACTTTGAATATATATTTTCACTTCGAAAAATATAATTAAGCAAACCTCCTTTAATTAATTTTTTAATGGAAAACTTTATTTTATAAAAATAATAAATGGAAAACAATTATTATCTTTATTAATTTTATCTCTAACAATATATTTATTGTATATTTTTCCATTGTAATATACAAAAGTTTTAGTAGAATAATTTTTTAATTGGCAAACAAAAATAATTCTATTCTCAAGTAATCCCGAAAAATGCAATTTTATCTGTAAAATAATTAAACAGATATCTGAAATTAACAATTAATCATTTATTTTTGAATTTCATTTGCTAATCTTAATTTGTGAATAATTGCTTGGAAAGTCAATAACTTTGTCTAATTCTTTGATCCTTGCTATTCAAAGTTTTTACAATAATTATATTTTAGCATTCAATTAGATAATTCCTTAGATAGAGAAGCAAAGCTAAGTAGGTTAAAAAGAACAATAATAACGGCTAGATATTTTTATTGATAAATTAATAGAAATATGAAGAAAAAAAACAAAATCATTAAATTATTTGATATGATTCACAAATAAAGCAATAAATGTATTTAAGAGGGACATGAATCTCAAGAAATTTTAGGTTTTTGTATTAATGCAAATTGCAAGCCTTCTCCAATTTGTTTTAAGTGCATAAAAATTTACCATCATGATCATTTAGAGAAATGTATAGAATAGAGTGAAATTCTTAAGTTTGTTAATGATATCATTGAATAACTTAAATAAAGTAAAGTTTAAATTGAAAAAACTATGGGAGAATTTTTTTTACTCTTTCAGAGTGTTATTGAAAATATGAAAAAAGTAAATATTAAGAATACAATATAATAAAAATATCTAAAATTGAAAAATATTATTAAAGGAGAAAGAAAGATGGATGAAATGTTAAAATCTATGGAGGATATTGTTAAAAATCTAGAGAAAAACAATTATTCTTTCATATATGAAAATGCAGAGTTAATAAAATAATCTGTGAATCTTTAAAACAAAATTACAAACCAAATGAAATAAATATATAATATAGTAAAAAGGATGGTTGCTATCTAAGAAAATAAAATATAATGCCAAGAAGATAGATCATAATTTTTAAATGGTATTGATATTTATATAAGTTGGTAAAGTTTTAGTAGAAAATATTACAGAAGTTTTAATTAATGAAATTTATCCTGGCACTTATAAAGAATTATTTCAGAAAGGTGATAAAAATATGCTTATTTTAATAGGAAAAGCATTAGTTTAAGTGAAGAAATATAAAGAAGCAATTTAACTTTTCGATAAAACAATTTAAATTAATCCTTAATTTTATAAAGCTTATTATCAAAAAGGTAATAAACCTTTTATATTCAATAGGCTTCGCGTTACAGAAAATAAATAGATATGAAGAAGCGATTAAATCTTTCAACTAAACAATATAAATTAATCCTTATTTTTATAAAGCTTATAATAAAAAAGGTAACAAAACATTTATATTCAATTTAATAGGCATAGCATTAAGCAAGATGGAGAGATATGAAGAAGGGATTTCATGCTTAAATCAATCAATTGAAATTTATCCCACATATTTTAAAACCTATAATAGTAAAGGTAATAAAATTTTAATTTTGACCTTTAATAGGTTATGTGCTAAGTTAAAAGAAAAAATTTGAAGAGGCTATTTTATGTTATGATTAATCAATTAGGTTTAACTCCCAGAATGATAATGCAAAAAATGGCAAAAGTAATTAGATTCATCTTTATTAGGCTATGCGTTAAGCGAAATGTAAAGAATTTAACAAGAAAACCCTTCGCCGGAATATTCATTAATATAATTTATTGATGAAAGTTAATAATTTTAGGATAAATAATAATTAGAATTAGAATATTAAAAAGTTTAAATGCCTTTAGGTAAAAAGCATTTTCTGATATATCCACCAGAAAAAAGAAATATGATTTAATGTACAATAAGGAGGAACAGAAGATTTTATCCAATATATGAAATGCATCTTATGAATGAAGAGTTTTTAATGTATGCACAAAAGAGACTATTTAATACATCAAGCAGCTATATAATTTATGAATCAGAAAATGATATGAAATAAAGTCAAAAATTTTTAGGTAAAGTAAGAAGCAATTTTGATGGAACTTAATTTATCTTATATGATTCAGGTTTAAATCCATAGAAGACAAACGATCGAGAGAAATTTAGACGTCAATTAGGAATTGTTCAGTATAAAAGTAACTTATTAAGAGGGCATCTCAAGATGGTGGTAATATATTTTTGAGTAAATAAAAGGTTCTATTGCCAAATTTGAATGATAGAGATTAATTTTATGAATTCAAACCTACCAATTAATAGGATGGAATATTAAAGGAATATTAAAATAAAAATAGTAATTAAATTATGACCTGTGTAAATAATCTCCCTAAATGGAATGATCAACGAAAATAGAATGAATTATCTTTTCGTAAACGGGTAACACAAGCTAGTGTTAAAAACTTTCAGCTGATTGAAGACAAGAAAGAGAATAATATATTATTGTAATTTGGTAAAGTTGGAAAAGATCAATTTAATCTAGATTTCTAATATCCAATTACACCGCTTTTAGCATTTCAAATTGTGTTAACTGTATTTGATTACAAATTACTAGTTGCATGAGACATTATTTATATTAATATTCATTAATTATTTTAATAATATAATAATATAATCAAATAATCTTTTAGCTTCTCTTGAAATTGACCCAAATTACTAAATAATTAATAATGTCTATAACTGGATGACAGCAATATGGTTGATAGGGATTTTTTTAAAAACTTTTTTCTAACAGCTCTACTCATTCCCTTATTGATGAAAAGGTAATAAGGGATTTTAAGTTCATCATATTATTTAAAATATGAAAATCGTTGGAGTAACTTTGACTGGATTTGCTAAATATGCAGAAATATTTAAAAGAATAGATTTTAATACTTTGGTAGTTGAAGAAGCAGGTGAAGTTTTGGAATCAAATTTAATAGCAGTTTTATCTAAACAAATAAACCATTTAATTTTAATAGGTGATCATTAATAATTAAAACCACATATGGAATGTTATGATTTGGAAGTCAAATTTAGAGCTATTGAAAGATTGATAAAAAATGGATTAGAATATGCTACTTTTAAATATTAGAGAAGAATGAAATCAAAGTTTGCTGACTTTATTCGTTTAATTTACTAAGATTATTAAGATCATACTTCAATATAAGAATAAAATAAAATTGAAATCGAAGGAATAAAAACTGATTTAGTCTTTTTTAATCATAGACATAAAGAAGATGAAAAACTATTGTCAAGTTCTAAATCAAATAAATTTGAAGCTAAGATGATTTTAAGAATGGTAGAATATTTATTAACAAATGGATATAAAGGAGAATAAATAACAGTGTTAACTACTTATTTAAAATAGGCATAATATATAAAAAATAATGTAAACAAGATGTAAGAGTATAGTCAATAGATAATTATTAAGGAGAAGAAAATGATATAATATTATTATCTTTAGTTAGATCGAACACTAATTATAAATTAGGTTTTGTTGCAATAGATAATCGAGTATGTGTAGCATTTTCTAGAGCAAGATTAGGATTGTATATATTTGGTAATTTTGGTTTTATTGAAGAGTGTATAAAAGATCATTTGATAAAGTAACATCAATAAAGAAATCCTGATATTTCAGATTTATGGTTAAGAATAATAGATTTAGCAAGATAGAAAGGAGTAATTTAGAATTATATTGAGTTGAAATATCATAATATTGATACTAAAATCTATGAAGAAAAAGATTGGGATTAAGTTAAAGGATGTGGTTGTACTTATATATGTAATACTTAATTATGTTTTGATTCTATTCAGTATTAAACTATTTGATATAAAATGTCTCATATAACTTAAATTATAAGTTTCATATTTTATTTAGTTTCATTTTAAAGGTTTTATTTTATTATTTACTATTTATTGATATTTATTTCAATATTTCAAAAGTATGTGAAAAAAGGATTAAATAATATAAAATCTAGAATAAATTTTATTTTTAAAATAATCTATTTCTTCAATAGTTTATTATTATACATTAGTTATTAAAATTTCCATGTTAATTAATTAAAAAAACTTGTAAGTGTAGAGCTAATTCTTATATTAAATAATAAGACTAATGTTTGAATTATAATTTATGGACTAATCAGAAAATAATTGATGCATTTTATTAACTTAATAATGCTAATTTTGTTCACTATAAGCATACAAACCTTTCTCAAAAATTTATTTTTGTATATCATGATTAATTAAATTAAATTATTGATAAAAAAGATTTCTAAATTATCAATTATTAAATTTATCTTTTCAATTTCAAAAGAGAATAAAACAAAATATCATTCAAGAATCAAGCATTTTTGATTTATAATTTAATTTAAAGATAACTTTTAATTCACTATAAAGAAAAAGATCTAAAATAATAAAAAAATAAATTGTTTTAAAATAATGAAATTAATTTTTCATTGCTCCAAAGGATGATCAACAGAAAATCCTATTTTTACACCATTTTAATATTCTTGATGGTAGACTTTTCGTTTTGCTTAGGTGTTATCATCAAAACTATCGGATAATTCTATCCATTTTCCATCTTTCATGCCATTCT